ATATATATATATATATATATATATATAAAGAAAACTTATTTACTTACATACTTACTGACTTACGCAAAGATATAATTATATATAAAATTATGATGGAAGTAAATATAAGGAATGGTATTATACTGATTATTGGTGATGTTTTCCTGGTGTTAATTCTCTTTATATCATTCTGAATATTTTCATAGTATGTTTTGTTTTCTGTACCATTTAACGTATGTTGCATTATAATACCTGAAAAAATAAGTTTAGTTAATAATCAATTAAATTTACAACTAATAGGTTAAGTTTGTTAATAATGCAAATTTTTTCTGATTGTAAGTTAACGTTGAAAGTGATAAAATTTTACTATTAGGGAGAACTTTTTTTGCTAGATATAAAAAGTCACATTATTATTTTAACAAATTAAGCTGCTAAATTGTTAAAATGCATTTTTAATGAGTTTTTTTTTTATTAAGTCTATTAATGTTTAAAGTCAGTATTAGTGATTCATTTAGAAAGAAATAAAAGTAAATAACTGATTGATTAGATTGATGTTTTGAATGATGAATGTATTCTATTGATTATACTGATTAAGTTGATGTTTTATAATGCAGAAAATAGTTCAACGGAAATCTAGGTATTATGTTTCAGATTCAAAATATGACATAAAGAAAATTACTTGATGTAATATTCTGAGTTCTTCCATCGTATGTTGCATTTTTTGTACTATTTGATGTATGTTGCATTATAATACCTGAAAAAATAAATTGAATTAATAATCATTTCTATTTATAACTAATAGATGAAGTTTGTTAATAATACAAATTTTTTCTGAATTAATATTGGAAGTGATAAAATTTTACTATTAGGAAGAATTTTTTTGGCTTGATAGAAAAAATCACATTATTGTTTTAACAAAATAAGCTACTAAATTATTAAAATGTATTTTTATTAGATTTTTTCCCAATTGAGTCTATTAATATATAAAGTCAGTATTCTATTCTATTAATGTTTCTATTAATGTTTAAAGTTAGTATTAGTGAATCATTTAGAGATACAGGTAAAAAGAAATATAAATAATTAATGTATGTTTTGAATGAAAACACAGAAAATAATTCAACAAAGATGCAGATATTATGTTTTGCATTAAAAATATGTGACAAAAAGAAAATAATGAATGGATAACTGTTTATGTATGATGTAAATACACATATAACACACACAATCATGTCATTACCAGAAATTAAAAGCATAAAAATGATAGTCCATAATATTTGCTTTATATCACGCATTGTGAGATCCTATATATCGTCTTTTTCTACTAAAAATAAAGAAAATCATAGTTACAATTTTTTTATGTATTCGAATGTTATGACTTTTACAATGTTTTCTTGATTATTTAAAATCAATAATGAAAATATTACAAATTAATTACAACATAATTGTTGATGTCGACAAGAACTGAAAGAAGAGTAAGATTCTAAAGAATTTCGATAGAATATTTTGCTCCGTTGGTAATAATTTGCAATATAAATTTTTCAAATAACATTAAAATATACACAGATGTGATAAATTCTGAACGTTAATACCAAAACTTTATTTAACCGATTGAATATAAAAATAATTAACATTACAATATCAGTTTGTTCATCTTACCAGTACAAAACTTCTTAACGTCTATGTTTTCTGAACGACACCGTGACAATGAGAAGCAATTGGTTTACTAGATACACAAACAGTTCTCGACTTTGATATTGATGTATAAGTATCCATTTACATGAATCTTATTGGTTTTGTCCACGAATATGCTTATTGTTAGACATCTGTAATTTTTATTCTATCTTATTAATTCGCACACGCTGTCTTTCTTGATAAGAATCTCGAAGTAAATTTTTATAATTTGATTTGTTTTTGATATGTTCTTTTTATAAAGTCATAAAGTAATGAATAAAAATCGTAGGAGAAACACATGGTTAACTTTTATTCTTTTTTTGTTCTTTAATTGTGTAATTGGCTAATTTAATTATGTATAACTATTGACGTATCTATTAAACTGTTACCTTTTTGAAAAGAATTGCACGCGTTTATTGGAACACATACAAAATAGTGTTATATTTTGATGAATTTTTTATTACTTCAAGATATTTGATACAAATCAATACATATAACAATGGGCGCATTCAGCCGACACGACAGTTAAGCAATCAGTAATTATTATCTATGATTGGAGTATACCATTAGATATATGAAAGATCTCGTAGAATACTCGAGTGGTAATGAGCGTTTAGTGAGCGCCACACAATTGTTGTGTTGGCTGAATGCGCCCAATAATGTGAAAGCAAGTAGTATCGCATTTTTCTTTTCTCCGTTTTATCGTACTATAATTTTTTAATTGTTGAGTATAATCGCACATGATTTAATTGTTCAATTTCACTCACTTGCGCTACATTTTTATGATTCGAGTCATTTATCACAGATATAATTAACATATGTATTAACACCGATACTTTTACCTCTGCGTTGATATGAAATTATTTGGTTTTATTGCAGCCAAGAACAGAGAGTTCTTTGCGCTTCAAATTTTCGATAGTGTCAGCTTATACTAACCATAAAATTCATGATTAAATAATAAATGAGGTATACTTTGTAAATATGACGTAGTTGAGAGAATTATAATGTGTCAGTTATATGTAATGGATAATTTCTATTTTTGCATAATTTATAATTATATATTTTTGCACAGTTTGCATTTTGCTGATTATATGTTTGAATTTCTTACGGTTTGTATTTATGCAGTTCACATGAAGCATTTTTTTTCCAATTAGCATCTTCAAATATTTTATATTCTTTGAAAAGTTGCCGTCACTTACATGTAATAATTACTGGTGAATAGACTTTTACTGTTACAACGCCGTATTTCTTCAGCGTTGTCAGTCGTTAGCAGTTAATTTTTCGACATATATTCTTTCTCCTCTTCGTGAATACATCAAACATCTGTATAACGCTTTGTACCCACGCGCGGTGTTATGTAGGTTGGAATGTGAGTGTTTATTAGTATGTCTGTTGCCATCTTAGCACCGCAAAAGATAAAACGAAGTAGAAACACGGAAACAAAGAAGTAGAATACTTGCGTCCGCTACATGTCACGGAGCAAGAATTAAAATACTTCTTTATGGGAAAGAATTAAATGACGTAAGTGTCGCGAAAAAGGCAGAATTTCCTTGGAATTTGGGAGACACAAAACGTTGATGTACAACAAATTTTGTATTTTAATTACATTTAAATCTCAAATAAAAAGTTTGTAAAAATATTCAATATATAATCACGTTACAAAATTGAGTATAAATTACTATTCTTATTGTTACGGTCAGCGACTCACGAGCCGTATTATAATTTTTCATTATTATGAGCAAATAAATTTCTATTATATTGCAAACCAGCATGATTTTTGTCTTCGGGCAATTTAACGCTTATCTAATTACCGGGCTTAAAGATGTTTTCTCGCGCCATTAAGATAATGACAGTGAATTTCAACCTTTGCTCTAGACGAAATTGTAAAGCGCCGGTGTTCTTTGAAACTTGAAACACACTCTGAACTCAAGCTACATGACCCGTAATGGACCTGTAGCCGCGGGATGTCAGGACTCTACAAGATATTTTCGACGTTTCCGCATAGCTCATGTCTTAACTTCGACAGGATAATGCGTCTTCCTCATCCTGTGTAAATTCTATAGAGAGAGTCCATTATTTGTTCATTATATGTACTTCGCATCACGAAATGTTTCAGTAATTTACTCGTTTAACTTGTTAATGTACGTCATGTCACAAAAATCTTGTAGAAGCTAAATTTCAATACTAATACTAATTTTCAAGTTGTCGATACTAATTGCATGTGATGGTGACTCAAAGATATTTAAAATTCTTTAAGATCACAAGAATTATAAAACAGCTGTGGGTACAATTAGAAAGTTGTATGCATTCTGTCAGTATTTGATGTGGTGCGAGATATTTTTGGACGTTTGAAAATACAGCGTTAAGGTTTATTCGCGGAGCCATGTTGATCCTGGCTTTCAAAATCTTCTCGCTTAGGTCGTTTTATTTCAACTTTGCCATTGTTTCTAAAAAGAGGGCATTGCCGAATAGCGGGAAAATTCCTTGTAGGAGGCTCCGAGAGAATTCGAATTCTGCACGGTTGTTACGTCCATTGCGAGAAAAAAAGAAGTGAAAGATATGATGTAAAGGAAGTCACGGAACCGTTGTGGCGCACAGCTGCTTCGGCTGTCAGAACATTTTACGAGATTTGAGAAATCTCGAGACCGCCTAGAACGCATCGTGCGCGACTGTGTTCCGGGCTGAAATAACTGTAATACGCGCCTCCAAAACTCGGTGGATATAGGCCGGTCGTTACGAGCCGAGGAATGCGATTTTGCGGTACAATTTCCGGGTCCCCGCGCCCACGTTAATTTCCGCTTTTATTCACGCTAAGACCGGTTGACTTAACCGGTATTTTAAGTGTTCTCTCCTCTGTCTCTTTCTAGATCGTAGCGCCGGTTGTAAAATAAACGACGAAAATTTAATTAACCGTGATTAAGTACTCACGCGCGATGTTGCGGCTCAGTGCTTTACATATCCACAAATTGCATTGCATCTGCTAATTTGTTTTTTTTTTTTGCGAAGAATTTATTCATTACTTGTCATATTAGCTATAAAGTTCCGTATTGTGTACATAATCAGAAATTAGAAAATTTAACAACAATTCAAATCATAGTGTGCTATTTGCAGATTTAGATGAGTATCTAAAATACGCGCAGAGATATAATTGCAATAATCAAGTTAGAATGGGTTCCACTTTCGTTGACCGTCATCTTCGATTAGATGCACGAGGAAAGCTGACGATCAAATACGGTGAGCGACTTCAGTAATGACTGTCGGTGAACATCGGAAATCGGCAGCACGTAGAATACGAGTCAGTGGCATCGACTGCTATGTTGTTTGCTGTCAGTATGCTAACTTTATTAAATCGATCAATAATTAATTGACTTATAGCGCATCTCTAACTCGAGTAGGCCGCAACATCGTCATCAAGCCAGTAAGATCGGTTCGATTATCGGATTCTTAAGCGTCGATCTCATCGACTACAACTTTGTGCCACCTATAATGATACATCATAAAATGAGCAGATGATTGATCGATATTTTTTGTTTTGCCTGAGGCCTCGTTTAAAATCGACTACTTATAAAATAATTTACACGTCATGCACCATGATTTATGTACGCTGACACTTAGGGGATTGCCATTTTAACAAATTTTCTGCCAGTCACTTAAAATATCCTATATACTATACTACTTACTATGTTTACTTATTACGGTTAATAAAAATACAGTTAAAGCTTTAATTTATTGTTAAAGCTAAACTACTAAACTAAATTGCGTATTTTAATATCGCAGAGTTTATTATCATTCGTATTAATAATTTACTTTATCTCTTATTGTTTCGCACTTCAATATTACGATATCCACTAACCACTGTTATCACGTAAATTATATTGCGTAATAATGATCTCATTTCAATATTATCAATACAAATTATATCCGCTAAATCTTACGCCGTACGAAAGCTTTATTCTTAGGAAGGATCGCGATTACGGGGCGGTTGAGAGCTCGTTACTTCTCGACGACGGTTATTTGCATCAAAGCGAGTCATAATTACCGTTACGGGATAAACACAAAGTGGACGGGCACCGTGCTACTAAAATCGTCGCCACGCTAATGTGGCGGCGGAAAGTAATCATCGCCATAATCCGAGCCGGTCCGCAAACATTATAACATTTTCAATACGCGCCGGAATGTCTCGTAAAATAAAACCGTAAGTTGTAGCTAGTTTACGATCCGCCGCACTTTAACGGAGCACAATCTTTGAGATAAGGTATCATAAGTCACTCATGTACAATTACTTTCGAATTGCCTATATCTCTCTCGTGCGAATAAAATACTGTCAAGAGTCAAAGTAACAATTACTTCTAAATATAAATTTTATGCAATTTTATTGCACGAGCATATATCAGTTGTAATTTAGAGTCGAGATTTTACAATATTTCAGATTCCTTAAAATATCAAGTCAGATAGAAGTAATTCGTGAAAAATGCAGCGCTCCCTCCTCGTACATAAATTGAGACTTGCTATTGAAAAATTATGTACATTTATTATATACGTAAATATATAAAAGATCACTTATGTTATGTGACGTATGACCGATCGTCTTTACAATCGCTTGCGCATAGAGTCACGTTACAAAATACCGTCGACGCTAATAAGGTATGTGCATACATGACCCAAGACTCTATACGTTTGTGATGCCTTATGAAGCGCAGCGAATCGTCTAAACGAACAACTATACGGTGCTCGCAAGTACGTTAAACGTCATAATTAGTTTCAAGTAGGCAGGCACGATAAGGAAGAAATGTGCCTGCGTATATTACGTCAACGCAGCAATGGCTAACGGTAATAATCTGGAAGGTTGCAACGGCGCGGCCGTGGGCTCCAGTCAAGTTCAAGATCCCAAGGTTTCTCTCGTCAAAGAATGGGAAGTGTCAGCATGACGATGATCGTGCCTCGAGCGTAGGCAGCCGAGTGACCGAAATAAACCGGTCGGTGTCGAAACGATGACATATGCGTTATATAACTGCACAGTTATTTCAAG